AATTGTTTGGTGTTTTAAGTGTTTATTTTGATAGTCGTTTGTTGGAAACGGAGATCCGCATGTTTTTTTAAGATACTGATGCCTACAGTCAAGTTTGTTTTGAAGTGAAAGATTTGAACAATTTCATGTTATTCACAATAATTCACTGATCTACAAAGTATCAAATGAAACTTTTACCTTTATTTTGTAAAAGTTTCAAACCTTCAGTAATCAAACAAATCACAAAAAATATGCTACGGGTGCAACGGAAGAGTGAACAGAGGAGATAAGTCAGTCCTTTGACTCCAAAAATAGAAATAATAAAGGATACTGGTGCCAATAATCTTTCAGCTTTAGTGGAAGGACTGAAGTATGATGGGAGATAGACATTATAGTCTCCATCCATAATGATGGCTTTAAAAAGCTGACATCAGCTTCTGCCGGAATCTTTCGAAAAAGCTGTAGAAAGTTGTTTTTTGGGCTATTTGTTTTGTTCTGTCAGTTACTTGTAAAAATGCAGAACAAAAAGAAAAGAGGAATTGGTTTACAAGTGAACTACTTTTGAATAACAGTCAGGTATACGTTAGGCTAATATACTGTTTCAGTTGAGGAAAGTACGGATGAGGAAAAGTTTTTAAAAAATGAAAGCTTTCACATGATTTTTTTATTTTCATCTAAAAGCTTTGATATTGTTATTTTTTCTTTTACTTACTGCCTGAAAATTTTTTTGTTGGAGAACGGAAAGAAGGTAGTTGAATGTTTAATTTTTTTTTGATTTTTGGTGCATAGTTTCTCTGATGGGGGTTTTTTTTTGCGCTTCCCAGTTGGCTAATCTTTCAGTTGCAACGTTCAATGTTGTAATTTTTGATGTTGAAGTACTGTTCCCATAGAAAAAAGTATTAGTAAAAGAGTTATTTCCAGGTGGTCTTTCTCATACTCAATTTTCTCTCATTTCTGCTCCAAAAATTTTTTTTTCATTTTAATATCAATGAAATTAGTTACGTTTAACATTATTTTTCTCTTTCATTTGCATTCAGCTCCGATGTTTAGTTTTAATATATCTTTAACGATTACTTTTCTACACGAACCGTGTAACTAAGTACAATAAGCGATGAAAAGGATTTTGCAATTGACAGCGAAAATACTTCAAAGCATAAATTGAATTCTGATTTCTTACCCATTTGATTACTACAGAAATCATAAAAGAAGGGAAGAAAAAAATTTTTTTTACGTTACTGAAGAGCCGAGTTATAACTTACGTTAAAGTTAAAATTTTCCAAGAGCTATAAATTGTTAATTAATTAATGTTTGTTTTATCTAAAAAAAACAGCTTTTTTTTTAATGACAAGGACATCAATGGTTTACCGCGGTATTTCAAAACGAATATCTTTGGATCGTAGTTGAACAGTTTTAATGCAGTATTAAGTGTTTTTTGGTTTGCTTTAGTTATTTTCATTTTTCTTTTATACAAATATATATATATATATATATATATATATATATATATTTATTTATTTGTTTATTTAATATATATATATATATATATATATATTTATTTATTTATTTATCCATCCTTTTTTTCAATGTTATCATTAATGTATACAAAAAGAAGAGTAATAATCTTGGTTTTGATTACTAGACTAGTTTTAAACTGGTTATTTCAAGTAAAAAGAAATTAGCGTGATTCAAATATCTATCTGAAACTAATGGATATTGTAGTGTTGATTCTTTTGTTTGAAACTTATCAAATAAAAAAGTAGTCAACTAAGTATTCAGCTTTTGATCTCAAAAATTTCTGTATTCAACTTTGGAAATTTGTTCCGTTTCTGGTTCAATACCGGCATCTTCTTTCTCCTTTATTTATTGTATCAAAATGAAGGATTTAATTGGAAATAAAAAGTTGACTAACTAGGAGTCAAAAATGTAATAAGCTTATAGTAAAATGATAGCTGTCTAAAACTGTACCATATTGTATGCCAATTACCATCATCATTACTATTTAAAGTGCAACTGCAGAAAAAAGAACCTTTTTGTCATATTCTACAAGTAAATGATTTTGAGTAAGACAGAAGTGAGTTGAAGACTGAGCGCAATAATTCTGAAATTTTTCTTCATTTGTCGTGTCTTTTCGGGAAAAAATTTTATTCGTCGTCACCTATTTTGATCTCCTTCCATCTTTTCGCTTGTCCTTGCCAACTTGTAGATTTGCTTTCAGATTACTAACTTAGGAAATTCGTCTGAACTTTGTGAACCAAATTTGAGGCTCTGACTGTTCCATCATCACCCAAAATCTTTATTACTCCTCTGGCAACTTTCATCATTTTCCAGGGGATAGTATTGCTTCCAATAAGAACTAGAGATTTATAAAAAAAGTTGTGGCAGAGGCTGTACATGGAAAAAATGCTGAGCAAGTTTTTCCCCTGTGAGTAGACAACCCGTCATAATTAACTGTTAAAAAAAAAAAAAAAGAAAAAATTAATCGCAAAATAATAACTACTGGAAACTTATTGTTGAGGCGCGAATTGCACCTATCAAGATTTGATCATCGATTTTCCCATCCTT